AAAGAAACTTGGCTTAGATACGAGGCGTTACTTTGTTAGAAAGGGTTAAACACAAGGATTTTTTCTGTATCTATGAATCCAACAAAGCACCTATTTTGGAAATGTTTAGGTTTATTTGAAGACATTTCAAACACCTAAAGACTTGGCGTTATTCATGTTAAAGCTGAGCTGCATTTGCCAACAAAGACCCTGCGCTCCAAATGCAAGCCAGAAAAGTGGTTGCATACAATTACTACCAACCCTTTTCCAAAGCCTCAATGTTGTTTTACCCACCAAATCCCTTGTTTTCTCATAGAGGCAGGCAGACAAACCGCTGAATGGCATCTAGCATTCGCATAAAAACCTAAGCTCTGTTGTCAGCGATGTCTCCTCGTATTTGTTGCCTGTGGGCGGACTGTGGGCAATATGTGGAGCCCAAACCCACTGTAGGTAGATGTCTCCCATAATACGACCAGTGAGTATGAAATCCCATATCCACAACCTTGAAAGAAGCAGTCTTTTGGAATGATTACTCTTAGGTTTGGCTTGGAAGGGACGTCTAATATTAAACTAAGCTATCCTGTTGCTGGAGACAGAGGATTAAGGGTTCAGGTTTGTGTCTGGTGTATATCCACTGGTCATTACTCTTAGCCTGGAATGTAAGATCAACACCAATGCAAGATTACCGTAAGGCCTCAGACAGCGGTCTGGACCACTTTCTTTTTCTTTGTTTTTATCCAGTGGTCAGTACACTAGAGCAGAATTTCAAGATGGTTTTGTGGCAAAAATGATATTCAAACCTGCAACTTCAGAGTCAGCTGCCTGGGCTGCATACCTTGTAATCAATTTCACGGTATTACCTGAATTACCCTTCACAGTGGGTGTCATCTAGACCGGGATCGCTCACTTAAACACGCCTCTTCCAAATCCAGTAATCTACCTGCAACAAATTCCTAATATTGTTCTGTTTGTACAACGTATGAGTCTTTAAAATCGTCCGTCCCCCCCCCCCCCCCAGAGAATCGTCTCCACATTCCTCCACATGATAATGAGTCCAATCCACTGTAGTTGTGGCCAAAGCTAGAGCGGTTAGTTAATGCTCTCTCTCTCTCTCTGAAATGTATGGCCTAATTGAAAGCAGAGCAGCAATTTTACGACGGCTCTTGGTGTTTCTTGTGTTCTGCCCCTATGGAGGCCATCTGCTTTGGATTTAGAATTCCTTCTCCTTCTCCACCCTCCTGAGAGGGGCTGATCGGAGGGTCTCTCCACAGTTGGCTGGAGCGACTGTTGGGCTTGTGGTATTTGTCCACTTTTCCTTTTTCTGTGTGTGGATGTTTGGAGTGTGATTCCAGAGGAGCAGGAGGCTGTTTCAGGACGTTAATTCTTTCTCAATCTTAATGAGCTTTCTTCTGTTTCTGTTCATCTTGTTCTCTCTCGCGTCTCATGGTTGTGTCTCCCTTTTTTGTTTTATGGTCTCTTGTTATTCTATGTAATGCAGTTTGTGAGCTCATTAATCCTGCAATATAAGCCAAAGAATGATCTGTGTCCTTGTAGCCGGGCTAAACACTGAGTGGGAGTAGTGCAGGAAACAGTATGCCGAGACTTTCCAGTTGTGTCTCAAGAGTGCATGAAAACCTGTGGATGTGGAATTTGTTGATAGTGTGTGTGTGTGTTTTTGCATTTATGTCTGAGTGTTAAAGGGGTCAAGAGGAAAGAAGGACATTATGTGTGGCCATGTTGAGATTGCATCAGTGAATGTGTATCACGTGTGTAAATGCTTCATTTAAGAGTTCACTGACCCAAAGTTTGTGTGCGTGTGTGTGTGTGTGTGTGTGATATGACGGGTCCGTGCTGGGATCTGGACCAAAGGAGGATGTGGTCAACTCGTTGTGTGTTGTGGAGCTGCACTGTCCTCAACCCACACACTGACCCTTACCTCACTAGCGGGGCTCTAGCCTCGGGGACATAAACTAACATTGACTCAATGCAAAGCCGGCGCTGCGAAGTGATACGACAAACACGGCTCGCCATCTCCCGGCACGGACCACATCAAGCGATTCGCTGTTTCAGAGCTTTGTTTTTCCACTTGACGGACACCTAAAATGCTCTAAAAGGCTCCGATATGTCCATTTAGCTCTTCCTCTGGCACCAGCTTGAATGGCTTTATTTGTAGAGACAAAGGAAAAGAAAACACATCCTCATATGCAGGCTCATCTCCAGAGTGTTTGTGTGGTGTGATGACGCAGATCCATTAAATCAGTCATTGTACTGTGTGTATTTTTGTATTGTGAAATGGTTTGTAAATGTTGCTTTAAAGGCAACTTAGCGAAGTTATTTTCCTGGAAATCAAGCCGAACGAAAACATTTGCTCAGGTTTTGATTTGTAGTCCTCTGCACCAGTGTACATGGACAGTTAGGCCTTGTATGTATGTATATGTATGTATGTATGTATGTATGTATGTATGTATGTATGTAAGTGAAGAAAAGCTTCCTTCAATAGCTGCTGCCCTGAATCTAGCCCCAAATGTCTTAGCCTGCCTCAGCTAACAGTGGTGGCACAACAGTCCAGATGTTATGGTGGCATTTGTTCCCTCGTGTTTGGGTGTCCATTAAAATGTGCAATACCAACTGTGCCTTGTGAAGTTTATTACATCAGCCCTCCATGAGAGGCAATGTGTTGCAATGGCCTGAAAACAACTGACCACAATGTGAGTCAGACTTATAAGTCCAAATGTCCAAATAAAGACTACTTATTTGGACATTACTTTGCAGTTGTGCAAACTAAATTTGCGTGTGCAGTATGTAAGGCAGAGGTGATATCATTTACATATAAACTTGGCTCATTCAATGCTTTTTCACTTTGTTTTTGGTGCATGTTTACCAACTTACAACTTGCGTATTAATCAGTTTATCAACTGCATTCATTTGGTGTTACTCAAAAGTATCAAATGTATTTCCTGGTATTCAGGTTGCTACTATCATAAAACACAATGAAACCAGTAAAACGTCTTCTATAAAAAAAATGTTACGATCAAAAAAAGTTACTGACAACTTTTCTGACTATTGACTAATAAATGAATCATCTTTCAGCGACTTCTTTCTCGTATTTAAAAACTTTATTAAGCTCTTTTGGACACAACTGAGCAACCGAATCACCAAGATTGCATCTACTTCTTCATCTGGACTGGATGGATAAACCATCTGCTGTGTGTACATCAGAGGCATCTTCAAATTGATTGCACACAGCGTTGTATCTAATGTGAAAGCACTCAGCTGCAGATGGAGCATGACGTGCAGCCAAAGGCCCAAGGCCAGACCCTGGAAACAGCATGGAGCTAGAGAGGAATGGTCATGAGGAGGATGAGTGCTGTTTCTGTCCTGCTGAGTCCTGGCTGCAGTATCGGGGAGAGATTTATCTTTTTTTTTTTTTTTATACATTTAAACATTGGGAAATTTGACTATGTTCACATTTCCAAATGAATAACGAGGGTTAAGGTCAGACCACCTGGGTAGTACACCTGGTGCTCTGATCAAGTTTATTTTTAAACAAATAAATCAGATTTATTTTTATTTGAACAGTCTTACCGCAGCAGAAACCTAGAAAGTGATGGTTCTTTTTAGCGTTAGGCTTTTTAAGATTGAAAATGGCAGAACGTTTGTTGGCTCATCGAGTAACTAGATCATTTTCAACAAAATGCTGCCATGGCATTGTCTTTGAGACTGCCAATCGACTGTATGAAGACAGCTCTGTCAGTGCGTGTGTACACCAGCCGTCTGCAGGCGAGCAGAAGTCTGATCTTCCAGCCAGCGTTGCTGTCACAGTGGGAGATGCGAAGCTGACGGTGGGGTTGAGGTCATGCTGTTGATGGGGCCAGATTGAAGCACAGCCGCTCATACTTACTGCTGCAAACTGCTGACGTCTATAAGGACGGCGCCAGATGCTCCTGATTAAAGTTCCTATTACTCACACATGGGTTGGGACAAATAAAGGGAAGACCGTGGATACAGGTTGTACCCCTCACTCTCACTCTCACTGCCCAATGCTAAAGTGATTATGAAAACAATCTGCAGGCTTGCAGGAGACTCATGAGTGGAGTGGACAGGTCTGATTTCACTTTGAACGCAGAGAGAGACTTTCCTAACCTTCTGGAAAGCTGCCATCAGTTACATGCTGTGTATTAAGATTACTTATTTCTGCCATATCACATCTCCGTCTGTACATGAAAGCCTTTTTTTAAAGTTTGACACAAAATAGCACGATTCCCCACTACTCCGTTCCCAATGTTTATCTTCCAAGTTGAAGGATTTTGTTGAGTGAAATCACCTTTATCCTAGGACGACAGTGACTAACACGAGGCAGATGGAATGTTTTGGGATGATTTTTCCTGTATTTTTTTATGATGATGGGGTTTCAAATTGATAATGACAAGCCCTGTCAAACTTACTCATCAGTATACATTTGGGTTTCTTTTGGCAGGACAGTTTGTGATTTACCCTTGTGATGACATCAGCGATACGTTTGTCTGTAGCATGCTTTTAGAGGGGAAAAAAAACGACTTTTCACCCAGGGCTGTTATAGTGGCCGAAATAAAGTTGGCAACATGAAGTCATTGGAGCGGCTCCTCCCAACAATATTGCCCTCAGGCTTGTGCTTTTTTTATGGCTGGCTGATAGTTTGTAATTATCTCCCTCGTGAGAATCAGAGGAGTAATTTAACACAGCTGCAATAGAAGTAAATGTCAATTACACAGCCACATATTGTTCCAATATGGCGTTTAGGACCGTGATCTATGATGAAGTTGAATACACAAGCGCAACAAGGGTGGACACACCCTGCTGTCAAAAGCTCAACATCCGTTATCGTCCAAGAGATTCTCTTAGAAATGTCACTCTGAACTCTGAACAGCAATGAATGAAAACATTCTGCAGTCCTAAAGTTAAAATGATCAGATGAAGAATGTTCAAAGTATTCATTTCCCCTCATGCGGATGCATTTTATTCACTCACACTGTTCTTTACAGGCCAGACCCAAAGGTGAAGGGCTGACACCCTACCAGGGAAAGAAGAGATGCTTCGGAGAGTATAAGTGCCCCAAGTGTAAGAGGAAGTGGATGAGTGGCAACTCCTGGGCCAACATGGGACAAGAATGTATCAAATGCCACATCAACGTCTATCCACACAAACAGGTACCTGCGATATACTGTATCACTCCCTGGGAATTTGCAGTGATGTCTTAATGTAAAGAAAAAAACGTTTAAGTGGTAGATTGAGTCCAGACTGTGGTTTGCGTGTCTGCATATTGCCTTGAGGATATTCCAGATGGCCTCATTAAAGCAGAATAACAATCATACCACTAACAATTGCTTGTTCATCTTTGGTAATAAACCAACACTGAATAAACTCATTTCATTTCCTGACTGATAAAAGTTTTGGATTGTTTCCTGAATGTCAATGAATCTTAAAAAAACAACAATGTTAATGTCTCACAGACACAAACTCCCTCTGAGATAATTGAGGCTTACAACTTCAGGAATTCCTTTCACATTTAATAACACAAAACAAGTTCATTCATATTAAACAAGACACTGTGGAGTGTTATTCACAACAGCAAACACTGAGCTGTCTGTCTAGCTTAACCTCGGATTTTCCTCTCAGCCTGTTGACTAAAGCGATGGATCGCCTGAGAAAGAATCCACTCTGCTTTCTTCAGCGAGAGATATATTTATCCTCAACCACTCATCTTTTAATATTTATGCTTTTCCACATTCTTCCAATTCCACTTCCTGAAATAAAGTTAGGATTACTCCTAGAAGCTCTGCTCGTTCTCTGAATACCACGGGGGGGGGGGGGGACCATGCTCCACTCTGCTAACACTTACACAGAACGAAGCAGGAAAGGGACGATGCTCGACAAATTTACCCGAAATGCCTGCGAGAAGTCAAAAACATTTCCAGACAATGGAAAGTTTAAGGTGCAGTACACGGGATTGGGAGCGTTCGTATTGCCCCTCAACGGCTCTCAACAAGTCGACTATGTAAACAAAGCAAAGGAAAAACTCTGATTACAACACACACACACACACACACACACAGCGGGAGAGCGACTTCTTCCTCTGCTCAGGAGGACATTACACAACTACATCTTTACAAAGACAATAGTGGTTTGCTGCTGATGAAACATTGCACATGTAATGCTTAATTTACTACAATTGTTTATTACTGCAATCATTACTTTTGTCTGTTAATTTGCATCTTCACCGGTGTGAGATCTTAACCAAGAACATTACTATACTCTTTTAAAAAGCCTGGGTGGAGGACTGCATGCCTTTCTTTCCACGGAGGTCACTGGTGAGAAAACCTCACTCTACTCCGAGTCTTGTGGCAAAGCTACACACAGGCAAGCAAATTCCCTGCATTTGCAATGTCACCCACTTAACATATTTCCCCCCTGTCAGCGTTTGAAACGGACCACTAACCTCTGCGTCCTCGACTATCAAAGAGTTCAGCCTCTCAGCAAGGCTCCCTCCTGCCATGCGGATTCCCATAAATATCCTGAATATGTATTTTACAATCCCATCCACATGCATAAAATATTTGGTGGGCAATATATTTATTTTGGTTTAAAACAAATTCCATCAGGTATGATGGTGACATGTCCCCCTTCCTTTTCAAAAGTAGATTCTTTTGGTCCCCCTGTACTTTTACAGCTTGATTTACTCACTGATTGAACTCAGCTGTGTAACATTTCAGTGTTATTTGGTTGCAGTGGGCAAAAGTAAGTCTCCGCAAATCTTCTGGTGAGTTTAACCTCGCTAAACTTTGACACATTCATTTTCTACGTTGCTCAAGCCGTCCAATCAATTCACCTTGTAACGATCAAGCTAACGAGCATGCTAACTGACAGTTAAAGCTATTTAAATGACGGTTAGTAAGCTTGCTAGCTCAGAGAACTCTTTTGCACTCTTTGCTCTTTATTGAATGAAATGATGTAAAATGCTGAGAACAAAAGGCCAATAAATGTCACTGTACAGAGAAAATAGAAAGGAGCTCTGAGAGCTGGATTGACTGACTCGTGCTAGCATGTACTAGCATGTGGCTTGTTAGCTGGCCAACTACAGTAGTTCACTATCTAGCCCTGAGAGTAGAAGCACAACCAATTTCACCAACATGCACGGAGGAATTCTGCTTTGCCGCTTCCTGTTGTGACCGGGCCTTTGCTCTTTGTGAGCATTGGGTTGTAGGAGGTATTCTTTGTCCCCCTGGATTCGCCTCTCAGGCTACATTGACGTTGTCCTTCGCTTCGGACACTTCGGTGTCAAACTATACCATCAAAAACGAGAGACCATCTTGCAATGGATGACCGTGACGCCAAATCAGTCCATGGGCGTAAAGTGGGTGGCCAATGGCCCCTTCCACACTTCCTAGCCCCTACATCCAGCGCCCTTACTCCGACCACTCCCATCTTCAAACTGCCTTCATTTTTTTTAATCTCAAATACATATCTGTAACATAGTTTTGTGCATAGTTGCGCCACAAAATCGGCCCACAGATGTATAAACACCGTCTCGCGGCTACACCTCAGACTTCAGCTTCAGCGCTGACTCGACTGAGCTTGAGTTTCTCGCTCAAGGACACTTCAACAGGGAAGATGCCTGCAGTACAGGGGCTTGAACCCTGTACCTTCTAACTGCTGACGGGACCTCATAAAATACACATCACATTTTCCAGCTTTTCTCAAGGACCTGGTGTTTTTAAAGCACCGATAGTAAAGTCGTAACACTTCCTGGCAGACTCATTAGTGGACGACTGAAATATCTCTCTGTAGTGACCCGTGGTAACCTGGTTTCCTTTAGTTAGACCACTTTGAATAAATAGCAGTTTTGTGAAAAAAAGAAAGAAAGAAAAAGCCCGAACAAGAAAAGAACAATAGATGAGAAATAAAATGTTCCAGACAGATTGTTAAAATAACCTTGATATGTGCTTCCCCAGATAGATTCCCTTCGTCCTCGTGATTAATCCACAAAAGCCATTGCTGCAGCAGTTTGCTGATATTTCCATACAGGTCACCATGATCAAATGCTGGATACTGGATCTTTTTCTTTAATACCAGGTTGATAAAGTGTGCTTCAAGTTTCCAGAGCTAATGGTGTGCTGCCATATCTCTGCAACTAATTGTGTTTAGTACACGTCTGGTCTGTGAAGAATACGCGTACCGTCTGAGGCCAAAGTAGTTAAGTGAATAGCTGAGTTGAATCTGGTTCCAGAGAAACTGCTTTGCATAATTTAAGAGGTTTATGTGTGTGCTGCTTGGGTTTGCTTTCCTCATAACTTTCTTTATGACTCATTGCTGGTTCTCTTGTTTGTTTTCTCAGCGCCCTTTAGAGAAGCCGGATGGCCTGGATGTTTCTGACCAGAGTAAGGAGCACCCCCAACACCTGTGCGAGAAATGTAAAGTCCTGGGCTACTACTGCCGCCGTGTGCAATAATCCTCTTTATTCAGAGTCAGAGAGCAACTTTTTGTGTCCCAAGTCCTATAGCTCGTCCTCCATCAAGGCTGTTAACTTCCTCCCCTCACTTCCAGGTTTCCCTCATCCCTGCCCTGCACACAACATGGCAGCCTTTCCTCCTCACGTCTTCCCCCACTTCTCTTAGAAGACTCAAATATGGACTGTAGCTCTGATCCTTTCTGTCCCTCTTTTTTTTTTCCAGTGACAGTATTGAAGACTACATTCAGGAATAAGAGGAACATGTTAACTTAGGATCAATCTCTCCAAGTGCTCTTCATCAAAAGCGAAAAACTTGCCAAAATCAGTGACTTTTTTTTTGTGCCTCGACGTATCAGAAACCACATAACCCCGTTGATAAACAACAAGGCATACATTGATAAATTAGCATGTATGTCAATGGTGTCACTGACATTATTGGTCTCAATACATCACCTCACCTCGGGGTTTGTTGGCTTTGTGTTTACAGAGATCAGCCTTCCATTTCCCTGCCAAGTGAAGTGTGTCGTAATGTGACGGACGTTTAACCCGGGCATCTCACGAGGGTATAACGTACACGAGGCCTTTGATGTCCTGCCGTATTCGGGTCAACAGCACATCTTATTAACTGTGAATTAACTGAGGGACAATGTGCCAAACATCCCTAGCTTACATTTGGCCTATTTATTTGCTTGTTGTCTAGTGTGCAATTTGAATTTTAACTGAAATGTTGTTGTTTTTTGTATGTTTGTACATCACATTATTGTGTAACTGCTTCCACTGTAGGTTCAGTCGCTCCTTGTCTAGATTTAGTGCGTTGCTAACAGAAAAGGTGTAGAGTATTTTTGCTGCCACACAATTTCTCAATTATCTATAGTGTTCAATACGTATCGATGTTAGAAAGGCAAATTGTGTACATTTCAAATCACGTAAAAGGTCAACTGATAAGGAGCTGTACTAGTTTTAGTACCAATAATTTTGCCGTCCACGCAATTTCTCACCAGTGTTGAATATTCAATTTTTCAAAGCACTTAAAAAAAGAAATACTGCTTGCCACATTTTGATCAGCATTACAAAACATGAGTAAACTGGTCACATAGAAGGCCTGACTAGATTTTAACCACGAATTAGAAGAAGATGTTGGTTTGAAAGAGACATCTGAGGTCACATTGAAGTGCCAGCTGATGCCCGGCAGCCTTAGTTCAGTCCGTGAAGCTAAATGGAAACTTTTAAAAACAATGTCCAACAGCTGATTGCAGTGTAAAGAGTGTCTAGAGGGAGGTGACGTTTTTGGAGAACTGCCGTGATTTTCAGGTCGGTTGAGAGAAACGAGAAGATTTAAAATAGGAGGACGGATTTGTAAAGTGGTGATGCGGAAGATTCAAGGAAATACTGAAAGTGATGATGAATTAAGTTTACTTTTTATGAATATAAGTGCCTACTATTATAAACCAATGTCTTTAAAGGAAGAGAAGTTCACATCCTGTTTACATATATCACCGTGCGGTCGAAAGCACTACAGCGGAGATTAATGTCGCTTTGACTTTTAGAAACCGGCCTTTTCGAGGAGCCTTGTTATAGAAATTGTGAACTATTTTATACGTACTGTATATCTAGCCTTATAAAAGCTGGTTGACTATATCTATATTATACTGTAACATACTGTATGTGCCTTAAAAAGATTGAAATCATTCTGAAGTATCAGGACTATAGGAGGCAGGAAAAGACATGTGGGGATAGGGCAGTACACGTGCATGTGGTAACTGTAAGTTTGATGCAGGTTCAAGATGTGACAAAGGACAAGAAAATGTTACAGTTCACCCATTAGTTGGTTCTGGCATGGTGGGTGTTCGCTTCAACACAGTTTGCGGAGTTGGAGGCACAAGGCTGAAACAGCATTTCCAGCTGGCAAAAACAATCCCACTGTGGTCTGTTGTCATGGAATATCCACAAAGATGTTATTTCTTTGTCGATCCTCACAACAGAAACTGTGGACCTCACTCTTTGTTTTTTTTAATCTATTGCAGTTGTGTTCATCCAAGGAACCGAGGAACCGGGGGTTTTGTAAAACAACAAAAACATTCATGGTCACTCGCCTTAGTGGGGAAGACTGCAGTGGCTGCTTATGGTACCTCACAGTTAGCTCACTCATCTGTAAAGTTAAAGGAGCACTCCAGTGGTTTAGTAGTGCAGCTCCACAACGTTAGGAGGCTTGACACTAAAGACTAGTTGAAATCAATGCAGCAGAGGCTGAGAACTCAAGCTCCAACACGCTGGATCCTACCTTTCCCATAATGCAACTCAACAGTTCAGAAGACTTCCACTGCCTGGTGAAATGCCCACATCTTTCAAACTCCACACCCACAGGTTGTAACGCAGGCTTCTTGTTAAAAATGTGTCTACAAGTCCAAACAGAGATAACTGTGATTGTTAAAGACCTAGTCTGAATGAAAGATTCTCCTTTTAGTTGGGAACAATCCATTTTACTTACGGTTAACATCGGATTTCTTTTGCTCTGTTGGATGACACTGACCTAACCGGGCTGAACCGTACCGTCCGCATCACGCCATGTGGCTGCAGTGAGAGAAATGGATACCAATGATGCCTTATGAGCTCAGCTCATAAACAAGTACCAATGGTTTTGTGATTCACAGAGTTCTGGCAGAGTAATGATGAATCCTGTTTGATTCAGCCCAGAGACACGTTATGAGGCCATTTTAAATGGCAAAATGAAGAGCCAATGGAAGCAGTTGATAGAATACATTTAAAAAAAGAAAAAAAAATCTCTGCTTTCAGACATAATGTCTTGAATGCATATACTTGACTTTTCTAGTACCTTTTCAGTTCGAATTTATTATTTTCTATGAATGAGATGTGTATTTTGGAACACTTAATAGATGTTGAAAATTTTACCGCAATCTGCAGAAACTCCAGAGTTATTTCCCTGACAAAGAAAGACTGTTTTATGTATATATTTGATGGCCATCATTATCAAGGATAGTTGCTCTTTTTAAAGTGTTATGCAATATTGAAGCTTTTTTTGTGTGTGAAGAAGGGCCTATTGCTGAGAAATATACAAAGCCGGGAGGTTTTTGTTCCTTTTCTTTTATGTTTTACAATAATCTGAGGGGTTATCCTGCAGACATATTTATGGAAAGATTTTTTACAACACTTTTTGTATAGAATATGCAACAAAGTTACACTAAGAAGGAAATATTGATGTCTACATAAGAGTATTATTAAAAAAAAAAAAAAAAAAGCTGGTACATAATTAATAGCCTTTCTCAGTTGTAAGCCATTGTTTGTGTTTTGTTCTGATGTTATCAGTGTTGAATAAGTCACAATGTTATTCAGTTGCTACGTGTAACTAATTATGAGCTGCCGTTGACATCCATATAGTCACGCGTGTTCATTTTGTAAACAACATTATGAAGATATATATTGTGTTAACATGCAGAAATCTTTTGATTTCTTAAGTAGTGACGGATACGCACCACTGTATAAGCACGTTAAACTGTGAGATGTAGAGAAACTATTATAAAATGTTACGGTGTTATTAGTAGTTTAGGGAGCATATACTTTTGTCAAGAAAAGCGTGTGTGACAAAGAACTATTTTAGAGTTTGCATGTGCATGTGTTTGAATTAAATATTTTTTGGTGCAATGTATACTTATTTAAATATTTTTACAGTAGTTTGCTACAGTACATATTGTTTTTAACGTTATCAGCAACTTCTGATTGTTATTAGCCTTGAAGTGTTTCATTTACCGTCCCGTGTAGCCTCTACGAATAATACATATTTACTGAATGTCATGTGTTAACACTTACGTGGTCAATTTGGAACATTGTGTTTGTATTCTTTACTGGTCTGTATCACTTGAGATGTTTGTATTGCACTATTGCAATAATGTTATACTTTGAATTGGACAGAACACAGGCGTGAGGTAGGAAAGACAATGATTTTGGGAAACAAAGGACAGTCATGGTTTCGAGAGTAAGACCACAGGTCTGTTTTTCATGTCCATGAAATGGCATTCCAAAATGTGCCTTATTTGTTAGTTGGGAAACCATTTTAGTGCCGTCGAGAGTTTGATGCATTAAAGTCATATTGAATTAGGAGTGCTTGTACTGTGTGGTTTCATTTGCTTGGGTCCTCTGCTGAACTGTTGTCAGCAGTAACTGGGAGGCGTTCCCTCTGGAGCTTGATTTCAGTCTAAAGCAACATGTTTCCTGAGAGCTCCTGCTTGTATAATACTCATTACACAGAGTATATGTGTTGTCTTTGACTGCAAGCTCAAAGAGTTAGGCAAGACTGAGCGTGTAGATCATGATAAAGAGGTTTTTAATGGATTATTCAAGGCGGTTGTGTAACAGGGGGGGGGGGGGGCATGTAAAACTTGTTTTTCCCTCTCAGTGAAAGTGCTGAAAGACAACAGACACATCGAGCTGACAGGACTCCAGTCCAACACTTTGAGTCAAACTGCGGATGGACAGGAAACCTAAAACACAAAAGGACGGACGCACCAGCTGACATGGGTGCCGTGTGATGAATGGAGACATTTACAGCAGAGGAACCAGCTTGTACCAGTTGTGGATGTCATTGTGTTGCATGTGTAATAAACGCTTGGCCGCAGGCACCGTCATCTTTGGAGCCAAGTTTCCACGAGCAATATTGGACATGCATTCCTAATAACTAAAACTAAACCAGGAGGGGTGGGGGACCCAAATTATATCAAGTTTGTTACAACATCTCTTACTCAAACAGAGTGAGAGCTGAGAAGTCTCTATGGCAACAATGTAATCGGAGAATTCAAACAAACGGTGGAAAGTCAGCGCACATATGGTTTCATTTATGGGCAAGAGCTGCTTTTTTTTTTTTTGCGTCGCTTCATTATTTACTTTCATAAAGTATTAGCTCGATAAGCAGCACCACCCAGTCTCTGACTTTCAGACATGTCCTAGCCTCCTTTCCTCTCTCCTCCAGACACTCTGTGTTTTCAATAAAAAGGAAGAGCAGCCCACATACAAGCTAAAGGCATTTTCAGGTTCCTTTATGGTTCCAGCAGATGAAATCGTCTTCATGCACGGCGTCCAACGAGGCTACAGCCCCGCAGCTCTGTCTTCTGTCAACTGCATTCAAGTGATACTTCCAAGTCCACTGCAGGCGGATGTCGAATGATGTCACATCCTGCTCTGATGGACAGGAAGTCAGTCGCACTGGAGTGTCTAAAAAAAGCTGCTGGATCATTTCCAGGAAGCGTTAAAACCAGCAGGGTCGGTGGCACATTAGAGCAGATGTCCTGTACTAAGACTGGAGCTAGTCAAATCTGAAAACAGTCTTTTTATTTGGCTGTAAATGGAGAGTAATTGCACAATAAGAACATTTTACAAAGCGGATGACTTAGTGCTTGTACACAAAAAAATATAAACTGATGGAAAAATATCAGTTTTTAGGGCTGAGCAGGATCACAGGTGACGGCTCCTCCTTGAAAGTATTGTGAACACGGATGAAAGATAAAGTAAATACCAAATCGCATGCCTAGTCATCCCACAGAAGTCCTTGTGTGATTTTGGGGGATCTCCCCACAGTCAGTGATGACAATCTTCTTAATCACACCGCCGTCATGTAAATCGAAGGATTCCATCTTGGCGACCACGTCCATACCGTCCTTCACCTGCCCGAACACCACGTGTTTACCGTCAAGCCTGTACAGAAGAAGAGACGAAACGGGACTTTAGCAACTGTCGGATGTGGTGAGACGATGAGAGGCAGGGATGAGATGACGCATTAAAAAGTTATTTACCATTCAGTTTTAGCCGTACAGATGAAGAACTGGGAGCCGTTGGTGTTCGGCCCTGAATTTGCCATTGAAAGTGTTCCTGCAAAGATCAACAGGCCACAAGTAAGTCAATTAAACGTGACACAGTCAACAAGATCTTGGCCTCTTTTTTTTTTTTTTTTAAACCGCTAACCCAATATGATTCAGCATGACACGAGTCTGTGCCACACTGTATTTGGTGAAAGCCTGTCTCTCTTTCCTGAAAAGCAAACTGTGATAATGCCACACTTTAACATGACGCATCAAAATAATCAAGAAAAGGAGTAATTGCATTTGGACTAAAAAGTAGGTCATTCACCTACAGACAGTGGTTTATAGTGCTGCATGAAATTAGGCACTGCCATCTAGTGGAGAGGCAGCTATATTTAAAGATATAAAGCTGGGAAATTCTACTGTTAGGAGGCAAGGAGAGTGACAACTATATGCGTGGATTAAGGATCCTTTGTTGTGTCCTCCCTAACCAGAGATAAAGCAGTATAATAGTAATAGTATACGTGAAGCCGTGGAGATGTACCTGGACCGGTGTGTTTTAATTTGAAGTTTTCATCTTTGAACGTCTTCCCATATATAGATTTCCCTCCTGTGCCGTTGTGGTTGGTGAAATCTCCCCCCTGAAACAGAGAAACACAGCGACAGACAACATGGCAGACACCTCCATGTGCTCCATCTTCACTGTAACTCTTACCTGACACATGAACTCAGGTATGACCCTGTGGAACACAGAGCCCTTGAATCCGAAGCCAGGTTCCCCCGTGCACAGCGCTCTGAAGTTTGCTGTGAAATGAGTCGTCTTGTGTATTTAATTAACATTATAACAAGTAGTTGAATTCTTCTTTAAATGGTGAATTAAACAAATGCAACTCTTGGTATTGAGCAGCTAAAGAAACATGGTTGGAACATACCTGCAGTCTTTGGCACTACATCTGCATTCAACTGCAAGACAACACAAATCACAATCACATTCATGGATGGGTATTTAAACTGAGCCCTTATCGGTACATATTTGAGCACTGCGGTGCACGCTGCAGGTAGACCGAGGACGGGAGAGGCTAACGCTAGCTAGCTACCTCAATGGTTATCCTCCCAAGAGGCTCACTGTCGGCCTCGACGTCCAAAAACACGACAGGGTTCTTGGCGGGACCGGAGGAGAACAGCCTCGCGGCGACGACGCCCGGCGTGCTGTACCTCATGCGGTATCGTATTTTAGACATCGCTGCTCAGCTGAATGGGGTCAGGAGGACCTGCAGGCCATGGGTGCTGCTGGTGTTTACATCTGACGTCACGCGGACTGACAGGACGAACAGCGACACCACGTGGGAGGTTCCCGGAAGTACTTTATGTAGGTTGACAAAACAGGTGAACTTTTGTGAAATATTAAATATTTCAAATCCTATGGAGAGGGGAAAAAATGCAAAAACCTGATTTTGCAAAGAATCCATCACTGCTGAACTAATATTTCAGTTTTTATTTGTTTATGTTTTGTCAGTAAATAACCTTGAGTATTGTTTTACTATTGACACTTACTCTATTTGGGAAGACTGGTAACATTTTTAAATTTTACAATGCAAGTCTCTGTCAGTCATATACAATTTCAAAGGAGCTTTTCTGTTCCAACACCAGTTTTGCATTCATGTGATTTGCATTGCTGTTTTCCCTTGACGTCGTTTATCATTTGAATACTCATTTGGCTAAAGGGGCTGTGCTAAACCATCCTGCATTCATTTCTGTTCAGGTGCAGGATTGGTTGGTTGTGTTGGTGGTTTGTCTGAACTTTATTATTACCGTGTAAAGTGGTCATGCTTGTAAGAGAAACTAGATATCACTACAGGAGTGGCATGATGATAAGTCCAATTTAGCTTTGATGTTGCTTTTCCAATGTTTCATTATGATCAACAGTGATGCTTTTAAAACTGCAAATGCTCTTTTAAACATTTCTAAACCACAAAGAGGCATTTAACGATATCATGAATCAGTATTTTAAGTTAATGCTCCTAATTATTGATTATCATCAGGTGTTGCAGAAGTTTGAACCAAGAGGGAACTTTATCATCAGCCTCATTAGTGACAGACAGCCGGGTGATCTCAGGTACTTTGACCTGATTCAGCCATAACTTAACATAAACTCATGTTTTTGTTTGTCTGGAACACTTAGATGTACTTAAATCATTGTTTCGATTGTAATGGAGTTTAAGTTTAGTATTTATTTTAGCTCACAGTTTGCTTAACTTGTTGCTTTTCTACACTTATAATAACCTTTCTACCAATAGCTTGTGGATGAACTAAGTATTAAAGTGGTGAAATAGAACGTTCTGTTCACTGCAGACATTTAGTAGGAACACAGCACAGGTGTTTCTAATAACTAATTAACGATGCCAGCATGCATAATACCAGGACCCTGCCACTCAAGCAGCAATAATTCATTTGATCATTCACACCTGTGTTTTTCCTACCGTGACACGTCAAAATGTCCTCAGTGAAAAAAGGCAGATTGGTTGTTCTGTGCTAGTCCAGCCATTAAAAAACACTATAACAAGTGTAATGATATTTAGATTACTGTAATTGCAAATTCTATGTATATATAGTTTAGTACACAAAATGACAGTCCTTTTTTTAATCTTTTTTGTGGAATATGTATTGGTATATGCTGGTTGCTGCACTTTGCATGTCAAAAGACGCAAAAGGCCATTAATTGTGTTTCATCTGAATACATATTTATTAGATAAATATTAGGATGTCACGTCATCTAACTACATACAGATTTGCAAGACTAAAAATCACAAATTGCTTCTGACCAGTTTAGAATATGAAATGATTGTACATAGGCTGTACAAAACCAAAGAGACAACTGCCACCTGCTGTGCCAATCACTTCAGATTGTACCTTTATAGCATATTTTGCCAAATTGCATAACAATTATAAATTTGACAATTATTTTTACAAACTGTAAATTTGGAAACAACCCTTGAGAGCCACTAAAAGCTCAACGTCTCCAAGTCCCGATTATACCTGAAAAGGTTGTAATAATTTGCAGCACCTTTATAAAGTACACAGGTAATAGAGAAATACACAGAAGTTTAATATTACACAAAGGAAAAATGTCTTTTTTTTCTTTGAAACCCCATGTGGAGGGGTACATAAAGTATCTTCCATAAATGAACAGGCGTGATTAGAGAGGTCTGCACAGACGCAAACAAACACAGACTCATTTTTGCCAATTCAATGTCTGACAGGAGGATGCAAGCTTTACAAATTCTAAATACACTATGCACACTCCCCCTGGAGAAAATGAATACATTTCTGTTAACGTGTCTCTATTTGTCATTTACATTATATACACGTATCCCTTACATCCCCGACCCCACCCCCAACCCTCTGCCACAACCTCTCATTGTTATGCAAACCTGAAGGGGGTCTCCCCCCCAAAATTTAAATTTTACAACATGAATTGCATTTTCTTTTAAATCCTTGACTCAATTTCAAACGTCTGCGATCAGACAGTAAAATTTGTGTCGCGCTCAAATTACTAGACGTGATTTTTGTGAAAGGTTGCAGTTACAGTTTACACACTGTGTAGGGAAATAAAACATCCCAATGCGGCAGTGCATTGTCTTCAACAAACATATAAACAAACACATACAACATCTGATCCTTCAACTGTGTTATATGCAGGTGATTTGAATCCATATTTGGTTTACAAATCTCAAATGGGGGAACTTTTGTCCAATAACATACAGTATGTTTTGAATTCATTTAATGTACTGCATACAACTGTGTAAACCAAATTAAACTGAAAACAGTGGACACAAATAATAACTTAAAACAATATCAAATGTGATGAAAATCCACAATTCCCAAATTTGAGCTCGGTGCTGTTATCAAAGACTTATAATCAGGCCTCAAAACAATCAAGAGGACTTTCTGCACATTCTCACATTAAATAAAGAGGACGAGGTCACTTGTTCCGATGATGTCACGCAAATCATTTTTTGGAGAAATTTGGACCTCTAAGCTGCATTAACAATCTTTTAGACAGAAAACAACTAATTTAAAGCTGACCAATTCGTATACATAAGAAAACAAAAAAAAACTCCGATAACTTTCCTGCTGAGCCGTCTGAATATTCCTTTTCACTGATGCATTGTCACAGAGTAATGAAAAACGATACACAGGTACTCAATACAAGTCCAGTGAGAGTGCATTTGGATCAATTCGTTACAATATTGGACTGGTTAAGAAGGGATTCTGTGTGTGTTTGTGAGTGTGTGTGTGTGTGAGTGTGTGCGTAGTCCTTGACAGACATACAGTACCATGTAGTTGTCAGTAATAGATAGGTACAGTACTGTACAGTCACAAAGTATTCACAACGGGTATATACAACAGCTCCGGCAACACTGTTGGATCATGCAGGATGTTTTTCCCAAAAAGATGCAGTTCACCAGTAACAAAACGACGAAAGGAAAGATCAGAACAATCACACAGACGCTTCTATAAAACACAGGGATTTAAAAACTTCTGAAGACATCCGTAGGATGTTGAAATCGTGCTCTTGCATCAACATAATATCCAGGTCCAACCACTTACAAAAAGCATAGGACAACTTTGGTGATGTGTATCTGATTAATTTCAATGTGGGATGAAGATAAAACACATAAAAAAGGACGACAATAAAAAAAAAAATTTAAAAAAACGGATGAATTTGAAATAAAATAATAAATATAAAAACAAGAGAGAAAATGATTTGATCAAGCACGTTTAGGCTGGACAAAGACAACAGGAGCCATTGGCACACATGCACTGGTGGACAAAACGGTGCTGAATTTGATGAGGAAGAGCGAAACATTACAATAAATACACAAGAACGACTACAGACTGGACAAAAAGTACTGAGACAGCTCTTAAAGTGGATTGTGTCATCTTTCTTCCATTCAATATTTTTCTTCCCGCCTCTGTGTCGAACTGTCTCTCCCCGCTGTCTGTCGCAGGCAAACAAAAGAGGACACGTAAACATACGCACACGCACGCACACACACATACGTATATACACACACACACACACACACACACACACACAGACACACTCTCTCACACACTACATTGCACAAAGTGCGCTCGTTTCCTCTGTTGACACTCGAGGACATTTTACCACACTCACACACACCGAGAAGTCTGGGCGTCAAAGGGCATGAGCCAAAGTTTTGGAAGAACACATTTCAAATAAGATAAAAACACTCTCACAAGACAATGTTTTTTTTTCACAAAAATAAATGATAATTAAAAAAAAAAAAGCTACAACACTTTTCCTAAAGCCCACAAAGGCTCCTGTCTCCTCTGTGTTGTTTACACATGATGATTATAGCTGCACAGTTTTCTGTTAAAAAGTCACAAATATGATCTATATATATACATATATATATATATGTATATATATAAACATACATATATATATGTATATATATTTCTATATGTGTGTATATATATATATATATGTATATATATAAACATACATATATATATGTATATATATTTCTATATGTGTGTGTATATATATATATATATATATATATAATATCACTTTAGTGCCCGCCAACATGGCTGGCTGTAAATGGTGTGATTCGAGTCAAAGGCGGTGGAACTGGTGCGTGGAATCTTTACACGAGGAAAAAAGGGAGTGCAGGGATGAGTGGCGTTCCGGCTCTCTCCCTTGGAGTTCCCGAAACAGACGTCTCTTTTTCGGCCGTGCTCCTATGCCACGCATTGTCTGTTGACAGACTGTGTGCGCGTGCGCGTGCATGAGCATAGGAAGCTGCTTGAAGCATCGATAGAGGAGGTCGGTGAGGTGTCTGTGGACGGACAGTCAAACGCGATCACGACTCCCGTAGGTGCAGGAGGGTTTCTCGGGGAGGCTAGTTGTTCTCGAAGAGGGAGAGAAGGTCGTCGTTGCTGTTGGTGGGAAGATCGGGGGGGTCCAGGTACGATAGTAACTCGTCAGGGTTGGCCAGCTCTGGAAGCAGCTATTGGGGAAAAGGCGGAAAAGAGACGATGAGTGGCGAGGCGAAATAACCTTAAAACATATTCGACTTTCTGCAGCTGGATGACTTTGAGTCATGCCCAAGTGTCTGTTGAAGCCAATGTACACACAAGCGAGTGTAAAAAAAGCAAACAGAGTCAAAACACAAACAGAGCACACAGCAAAGAGATGAGGGCAGCTGTAGCAGACAGTGTTAGCTGTTAACAGGTAGCTTAGGGTGCCCGGAGTGGGCACACTTACATCCAGGGAGGGTTCGGGCATATCCTGGGCTCCGTCTGAGGAGGGGTTAAAGTTCAGATCGCTGTGGGGGTGACTGTTCTGCCCGGGCTGCTGATGCGGCTGAGGCTGCGACTGGCGAGGCGGCTGCGACGGTTGGCCGCCGTGATGCAACGGCGGCCCTGACTGGCCGCTGTGATGTAAGGGCGGCCCTGAATGGCCGCCAGGGTGGGGAGACGCATGCAAGCTCTGCTGCATGGAGTTATGGGACTGATCGGTATGGGACATCTGCAGGTGCGAGAGGGAGACAGAAAGCGACAGAGATGGGAGAGTGAAAAATAAGAAGGAAGACAAAGAGAGTGTTAAGGAGGGGGGGGGAGGATGCGAGGGAAGGCAAAAGGAAGGAAAAGCGAAATGAGTTCCAGCATGAATAACATGGAACAGGCCTTCTAAATGGAAGCTGTGATCAGCAGACATGTACAGCTGCAACATTATACGGCGACATGAGCATGTGAGCATGACTGAGCACACATGCTGGCTAGAGGCGCAAGCTGCACCTTTGTTCAGAGCACAAATCTGAGCCTCTATTTTCAGCATTCTTCTACAAACTAAGGTAACATTATGCTACAGGACAAAATGTCTCAGCAGAATATAAATAAGAGACATAAGACCTACAAATAAAACCAAACATACTCCTAATTTACTAGATTGCATAGTGATATACTGTTCCCATAAACATACTTTATTGGTATAACCAATGGAATGGGAAAGCAAGCAGACCCCTACTTACTGCATCATTGATGCCGTGGTTGAGGGGCTTGTCCTGGGAGAGGAGACCACCGGGGCAATCTGGCGGGTGGGAGAGCTGGGGGCCATGGATGAAGTCACTCATAGGGGGACCTCCTCCACCTCCTCCCACTCCACCACCAGAGGGGTTCCCATGAGGGAAGTCAAAGTTTCCTTGGCTGTGGTAACTGTTGCCTTGAAGGATGAAAAAAAAAAAAAAAACACTTCTGTCAAAAGGCTTACTGCAGTTTGGCCTTGCTGACTTGTCTGATGAATCCTTCCTGCTGTAAGAAAGTTTTCTTTTCAAAGTGGTTACATGAAGGGGATACACACGTTCCACTTTTATGAAATTTTAAACCAGGTTCAGCACAAAACTCTCCTTGGGGCTTTTTTCTTTGTTTAATGCGCTGCACACACATCCGCTGTTCCTGCTAAAAAGAGCAAAACAGCTCCTTTTCCAACAAACGAGCTGACTATCCTGTTATTTATCTATGCAGTCGGGTCCTGGCTGTTTTCCTTTACCTGCTCCGGGGTAATCTCCCCCGTGTCCACTAGGATGTTGACTGGGGTGTGGGGGGTAAGGGCTGTGACCGAGTACAGGGCCGGGTCCGGGTCCCGAACCGGGCCCTAGCTGGGCGATCATCTCCATCACATTGGGCATGGTCATCTGACTGGGGCTCATGGTCTTAAAGCGCTTGGCAAGCGGTCCGTCAGGGTCCTCTTTGATGTGTAGCTCAGACTTTATGGGGACAGGTCGCCAGCTGCATGTAGGGTCTATAGTGACCTCCTCAAACTCTGAACTATTAAAGGAGACAGAAGACGGTGTTCAGTTTTTGAAACAACGAACTCAGAAGAAAAAAAGAAAGAGATAAAAAAAAGCGTACTTTTGGATGGCGTTGAGGATTCCCCACATGTACTGGTCCACCTCCAGACCTTCTAATAATGCTGTTTTACTGAAAAACGAAAAAAAACGCAAACCTCATTAGTAATCTCATCTTTACACCCCAAAAAATGTAATAACTTTTCACTTACTTGCACACAGGACACCTCCATGTCCCCCTCTCACAGTTGAGCTGCAAGTAGGACTCCAGATCAAAGCACTGTGGAGAACAACATCACACATGCCCTTTAGAATAATCTCCCATTCACCGCGACACACTTTCACATGAGCAAGAATCGTTCAACACTTCTTTAAATCTGCAAACGTGTACCTGGACGTGTTTGCAGTCGTGCCCTCGTGCGGGCAGCTGGATGCGTCGGAAGGTGATGGGACATTTCAGCGACACTTTAATGGCCGTCTGCTCCACGCCGTCTTCCCCGTTTAGAGTAGTGGTGCCTGCAGACGCTGCCACGCTGCTGAAGTTCCTCTTAACTGAGAGAAGAAAGTGTTTCAGAGGGAAGGAATTAGTTTGTAAACAGTTGCAGGTGTACTTCGCTACCTTTTTTGTTTTTTTAAAGCACACCATAAAGAGAAGCAGGTGGTAGCTTGTGTAATTAAGATGTGCTTATGCATAATAAGTACACTGAGACAAAATGAGCCATACCCTTGGTGATGCAGTGTTCTGCAGGAAGGAGTCTTTTCTTCAGGAGCCCCTGGAGGACGGATCGCACAGATGGCCGGTGGACCAGCTGCAGCACAAACAGGTGGGACTGCAAAGCCACACAAGGACATGGAAATAAACAGGAAAGTCTAATGAGCACAAACACATACACCAAATAAAATCATCATGAAATAATTACATCTATGTACTGCTAGTAGTTATACATTGTCCTGATAGTGTGCACTCACACAACAGCAGGCGGTGACTGTTATCTGGATGGTGTTTCTTCCAGGTTGGCATACGTGCTTCAGGTGCAGGGGTTTGTGGGAGGTTTTGTTGTCTCCCCTCTCGATGGTGAGGGGCGTGGCGTTGACGCTGACCTGGACGGAGGCGGGCCAGTTGGTGTTCATCTGCCTGTCTTCGTGGTGGTAGCACTTAAACTGGAGCTCAAGGTCGGACCTATGGGATAGGACCAGAGCAGTGAGCGATAACCAGAAAAGAACTGTATGTGTGCTTTTAGCTTAAAAACTCTCACTGTAATAGTAAATAGTAGTGTGTGTGTGTGTGTGTGTGTGTGTGGAGGCCTGTGCGGTGGCCGTACCTCCACATGAGCGTCTGGTGGACGGAAGGTCGAAGGTGGTAGACGTGGTTACTGACAGCCAGGTTGTGCTCCAAGCGGAACGGCTCCAGCACCACTCCATCCCTGACCGGGAACGTCAGCCGCAGCTCCTCGTTGGGGTTTGCTGGGAGAGGAGGAAAGAAAACGCAGCGTAAAGCCACACAATGCGGCAGATGAAATAAAAGATCACGTATATGAGAGTAACCACTTGTTTCAGAACCGCTGGGGTACTCACTCGGAGGGGGCGGAAGTGCTGTCGTATTTGGTTTCATGTCGGGTGGAAACGGCGGCTTCACATCCTGGTTCGGCGACAGGTACGGAGGGATACTACTTCCTGGGGTCATGGGGGGTGTGGGGTTTCCAGGGACCGGGGAGTGGGGGTAGTTAACAGGCCGCGGGGGCTGTAAAAGGCAGGAAAGTGCAATAATGAAAACATCTGTAGAACTCATTTCACATATATGACTGAGACATATTTAGTCTGGACTGAAAACAGACCCCATTGCCTTGGCCGTAGGAGTATCCGCCTCCAGAGAAGTTGGTGCCCTGACCATTGAAGGGCTCTTGCTGTGAGGGAATAAAGAGCAATCATAATTACATATAGTTCCTTATTGCACCATGTAGTTTGCTCCAAGATGTGTTATATAAATATGTGCTGATCTGGCTTTTCCACAGTGCATGCTGGGATAGGCTCTAGCGCTCCTTCTGACCCTGAGTAGGAGAAGGTTGTTGGTGATTGGTGTGCCATGACAGACCTTGTAGTACTGGCCCATGGGCATGCCAGGTGGGTACTGTCCTTGGCCCTGCTGCCCTGGCATCCTTTGGCCGGGGTAGTTGGGAGATGGCAGCGGCCTGGAGGCGTTCGATGTGGGGTACTGGCCCTGCTGCGGTGGGAACTGACTGTTCAGTCCGTACTGCTGACCCCCGTAACTTGCCTGGACGAAGACAGTTAAAGGGAAGGAAAAAAAACATTAAAACGTCTTTTAGGTGCTATATGACTTGTAGGGCTCTATGTTCCTGAAATACAACTGATTAATACAACATTTAAACTGTGTTTATCTCCTACCCAGCGTATCTAAAAACACTCATTTATTTCTTTTGAGTACAATGAACATAAATTTGTATATTTGCAAAGTATCAGTCCTCATGTTCCAAAGGAAAATAAAAACAGTCCTCATATCTTTTAACAAACAATTGCAAAATAGGGTTTGGAGTTTTTTCATGTTTGTATGGTGCCAGGACATTACCAAACAGGCACAGATGCAAAAAACTTGTAAAACTATTTTTGCCCAAGTGTTGGGCCTGCAGGAAAATAGAGCCCATTTTCTCCAGATTGTTTTCAGATCTTTCCACTCACCTCCCCAGGATATGGCCTCTTCATCCCCTGCATGGGCATGCCGGGTCGAGGTCCTCCGGGATACCCCTGCTGAGGCATCCTTTGGCCGTGAGCCCCAAAAGGCACCATGCCTGGAGTTCGAGCCTGGTTCATGCCCATTGGAGGTCCACTCATATTGGGGTTGTTTATGGGTGAACCCATGCTTGCGGGATTCATACCTCCAGGGGGGCCTCGTGGGCCCGACTGGCTCATGTACTGGCTATTATAGGTCTGCGCAGGGCCCATTTGGAACGAAGAACACATCTGGAAACCAAACAGAAGGTTTCAGCGTTAAATACGATTATTTTGGTCTCCAGCAGGTGGTTGGATAATAGATTTCTGTGTACATTTGGTGTTTACATCTGTAAACATCTGTTGGCAGGTGTGTGCTGTACCTGTCCATACTGGTTCATATCTTTATTCTGGGTTTCCTGCAGAGCTGCCACCGTTGCCGTTGCCGTGGCCGTCGCTGTAGCAGCAGCGGCAGCGACAGCAGCAGCTGCAGCGGCGGCGGCCGGCTGAGTGAAGTCACCGGGAGAACGCGTGTGGGAGCTCAATCCCATACCTCCCGGAGGAGGGTTTGGGCCTCCAGAGTAGCTGTAAAAATACACAGAGCACATGTTTTAATAATTATGATCTTCTTTTTATTACTTTATTTCCTAAAAAAAAAGAGAGTCGTATCTAGTCTCTCACCTCCCGCTGTATCCCCCAGGACCTCCAGGGTAGCCGGGCCTGCCGTACATGCCCTGCTGCATGTACTGTTGGTTGGAGCCTCCTTTGTTTGGAAACTGCTGCTGCTGAGTATTGAACTGGGGTGAGTTGAGCCCCGCTGCGCTGGCAGACAGACCCGATCCCATAGGGTTACCTCCGGGATTCATGGGGTTATTGCTATTCGCCATTGGGTTCCCTAGCACCTGGATTTACCAAAGGAAGGAAGATTAAAAATACCCATTAGGTGTGTAAAATCAACAAAGCAGGCAAACCCTTCTGAGTGGAGCTAGATGCTGTTCATGCACGGACATACCTGACTCTGTGACGTGTTGGTCACGCCCCACACTGTTGTAACCACAGACAATGACCCAGGGGGCTGGTTGGAGTTTTGTTGCCAGGGGACAGAGTCATAGGGAAAGGATCCATCACTGGAAAGAAGATCAAAACACAAACGCGCCAAATGGCACTTGAAGTTTCGTTTGGCGAAGGAAAGAGTCAATAGAAAAGCCGACACAGTTACATCCGTCCAGTAATGTGAATAATTTGGGAATTCTTCTTACCAAAATGTTTGGCGTACAATTTCAAAACACGCTTTAAGCCAGAATGTCTGCTAATCGCTGCACATGAGTAAAAAGCTCCAAATGAGTCAATGAGGAGTTGCACGCCCACACACACAAAAGTAAAAACTAGATTTGATAAAAAATGATTTGTTGGAGTTGTTGAAAAATCTGTGGATATGGATAGGAAGAGTTGGAATGTATAATTTAGAACGAAACATGAGCGCCGGTTACATATGATAAACAAGCTAATTCCTCATGGGGAGAGGCAAGTGGCCAGTGGAGTGGGAAGGAACTGCTGTTTTTGGTGAGCAGCTTGTTTTCGCTCAGAGGTTAGCTCTTGGAATGGACGACTTGTTCAATATTTTCTCACAAACATTATCCCAAGATCCTCAGCAGAGGCAAACGGGACTCTCGGTTGAGTCCGGGCTTTCTTCTTCGAGAGAGAGATAGAGTGAGGCAAGAGCACACAAAGTTCTGCAAAAACATTACTTCACTGCTCTCTTCTTTGCCGGTTTGTCCCTCCTCCCCAAATCCCCTCAGCTCTACAACAATGGAAAAACACTGTCTTGGCTTGTTTATTACATAAGCACTGAATTCAAGATAATACCTTGATGGAGACTGTTGCACCCTGTCTCTTAAAGATACTTAAGTGAACCCTAGTTAGCTTTTTATGAATTAGTTTGGTGCAGTTTGGGGGAATATATCATTAAAAGAATCGAGGGGAAAAAACAGAAAATGGTCTACCTTGAATAACTAGAAGCTAATGGGTACAAACGGTAGAATCAACCGAATTTATTCAAATGCAAGTGACTCGTATCTGCCAATTCACCGCTGCACTTTACTGATTTTATGCTGTTTAGCTGATACTCCTCTTTTGGGATACTTTATGACCCCAGGGGGAAAAAAGCTGAATTGAGAGTCTTTAATCATGTGACAGGTATCATCTCTCGTGTCTCAGGGACTCCCCACTGACCTGTGCGTGAGGCCGGGCTTCATGCTGTTCATACTGGGCTGCATGGGAACTTTTCCCTGCGGTTCGTTCTGCCGGCTCTTCTGGTGACGCAGCAGGAGGAGACGACCCAGCTCCTCGCACCACGACGACAGCAGGGCTGCAACGGAAACACACACACATATGCACAGGATGCGTTAGTCTCCTCTCAGTAGATACACGCACGCATGCACTAACATGCGTCTGCACTGTGTATTCATGTGGCCTTTAGTGCATGTTTAAGGTTCTACGTGTGAATGATCACCGAGAAAAACACCTGGATTTTCTCGTTTTTTTTTATCTTCACACTTGAGTGTCTCTCAACAGTGCAGTGTAGTGAATAGTACGCTTGTGTCCAGAGCCATCCCGGCCTGAAGTTATTGCTAAAGCCTGCAGGGGGCAGCCCAACTCAATAAACACTACATTGATTATTTGCCTGAGTGGATTTCACAAGAGTTACATCACATCATCTCTACCTGCAGTGTAAAAATATAAACTGAAATCTCTCAACAGCACAAAGGACCTCCCAGTTTGTTTTATGCCACAGAGAGGAAGAGGCTGAAATGGAGCGTGTGAGGCAGACAGACAGGCGTGAATGGGGTTACAGATACAATCTTATGTAGGAAGTAAGAAAGTGTGATATCTTCACTTCCTCCACTCATCACCACCACTTCATTCTCCTCCACACTTTCCATGTCCTCTCATTCTCATCCTCTTCGTGAAGACGAGGGATAATGTTTTTCCCGTATTGTGCCAATCACAACGTGTCACTCTCGAAATCGATCACAGTTGTGTGGCTTATTTAAACACACTGCTTCTTGATTTAGAAAGTTGTCTCGACAAACCAACAAAAGAAAGGTGACAGTGTTCACTACTTAATTAAATAATTGAAGCGATGCTATTTTTAGCCTTGTAGACCCAGATACATCAGCTTTCAGGAGGAGCTGTTGCCAGCTTTGGGGTTTTTAAAGATGTAGAGTTTTTGAAAGAAGAAATCGTGAGGTTTAAACAGTTCAAACATGGAAATTAGCATTGAATTGTGAAGATTTACAAGACCACAAAACAACAAATGTCTGTCAAAGTGCCTCATAAATGAAATGATAATAAAAACTTAAAAAAAAAAATGAAATTGAAGCCTTGTTAATGAGTGAGTTGTGCCGTCTGTAACCTGTACATTAAGATACACCAGGTCTACACTGCTTGAGCTAACAATGCATCATGTTCTCTGAATGACTAATATCCGATCAGACATGTTACTAAGAAAGACAACGACAGAAGGCGAGGAGAGAAGGTAAGAAAATGAGAGGACAGGAATGAAGAACGAAGCAGAGGAGCAGTCACATTCTCTTCAGAGGGTGGAGAGAGAGCCAAGCCTCCTAGTTAAAGAGGAATTATTCCACCCTGCCATTACGGAGCGCTTATCTCCCCACTAAATCACCACCTCTGCACCGAGGGCCTGTCTCTTCAACTGGAAACCCACCATTTAGACCTAAAGATCAGCTCCAAGCACAAGTGATGGAGTTGCTCTGAGAGGGGAGAGAGAGAGAGACATAGAGAGGCAGTGGAGAAAAGAGAGCAGTGGTGACTTATCATATCAGTGTGGCAACGAGCCACCGACGCTAACATGCCGCCAAGGCCGGCAGTCATTCATAATACAGCGAGGGTCCTCGCTGTGGGCAACGTGCATATTTAACGAGCCTAGTACGTGTTTTCACCTCACCATCCCTCAGGTCACACACCCGCAACTACGCTACCGTACTGCTCTCCCTTTATCTCCTTACTCTTACACACCGTACACACCCATATTCCTCTCAGTCACTGTTCTACAATTTGTGTTGAAAACTGTCTACACTGTTATTAATTAGGACTTTCTGTTAACTTAACTGATGGAGGACAAGAGGAGCGGATGCCAAGAGCACAGACTGTCGAGACAACATAAAAATAAAAAAGGAGAACGTAAAGCAAGGTCTCTTGTCTTGTTACGCCGCTTTTGTTTCTCCTCTTTCATCTTTCTGTTAATTCGCATTTAATTTACGCTAAAGCCTTGTAGTTAAATCATACACTTTGTGCTGAAGGCTAGAACAGCTACCTGGCACCGAGACAAGCCAAGGGCAACCACTTAGTGGGTCTTTGTTAAAACCTTATTCACTCTATACCGCCTTTACACCGGCGGCTCCCACAGTCAAAGAAAAGTATAGCTTTTACAATATTTATTAAAACTACGCAGAATGTTAAAAAAAAAGGTGGATAAACTGAAGAGATACATGATGCTGAGACGAATCACCGTGAGTCTTTTCTATCACAAGCTATTGATTTACAACACTGTAAAATAATATCGTTGGCTCATAATGAGCAAATTCTGCAACAGGCGAGATCAAAGAGAGAGTTTTGGGGGAACGGTATTAGTTTTTCTGCTCGCACATGAGTGGGTGGAACTCAGGGATGTTGTTCTTATGTCTCTGCATGCAGCTCGAATGATAAAGTTCAGCCAAGCTTTGCCCAAACACTGGATATCCAGACGATCAAGAAGCAGCTCTGCAGAACGCCAGCGTTGCTCGATAAAGTTTTGACGCGATAGTTTACGTTTTGGGTCAGAAAGCAGAGAGATCGTAGATACGAGTATGAAACATTAGGCTTATCGGGGAGTTTGTGGCAGTGTTGCCTGAAGGCACCTTCTCCAGCAATGAAGGTTTGGTTGCTGTGAGTCTAATGTCAGTTTTCTTCTTCAGGAGTACTTACAAAATTACAAAAACAACAACAATACAGCTCGAAACAACTGCAGGAGCCTGTAAAGATGAGTCGATTAGCAGTTACTGTATATGTGATATTTTTGTAATTGTAAATAATGTGTCTGTGTCTATCAAACCATGGAACTTACATCATAGTTTACGTACACATGCCGTCCCTGTTCAGAGATATTTAAAGGTGTTTTCATTGGATTCCCCGTAGTGGGACTCGACACGGAGACCTCTCCCTAACAAGTGTCCTCAACCGGCAGCGAGACAGGCTGACCCTCTTCCAACGGCTCCGTTTTCAGAGAAGCTGTGGCTTTTAATTGTGCAATGCCCGGAGACATATTGGGCCCTCCTCACTGAGGCTGTGTTTACCGCTGTATGGCTGACCGATAGCAGGAGCCCTGGCTCATTCTCACCTCACCTCAGCCCCTCCGGGAGCAGAGGCGAGGGAGAGTGAGCCCTGATAACAGGCTGCAAGGCCCATTAACTAATGACAGAGTGTTTGTACAGTACAAGTCCTCTTTTACAAGGAAGCCCCGATGCTAATCACTATGAACTCTGATAGTGCAGTGTGTGTGTGGTAAAAGCCTGCGAGCAGATCACTTGCCTGTTAAATCATGACAGACTATCTGATCCTGGGAAACATGATTGAGTTAGCTGCTTGGTGGTGACCCCGCTTTGTTGATAAACACATGATATGATGTGAGTGTGAAGCCCTAGATCCTATCACATCAGGGTTTTGGGAAGACGCCCCCCCCGCCTTCACGTGAACTGCTGTGCCCTGTTTTTGCTACCGAGGTAGTTAACACTCAACTCTTTCAGAGGAGATGCTGAGGCCAGCAGCAGAGTGTCATCGAGCTGGACAGTTCCCAGGAGTGAATCGCCGAACAAAATGTGTTATACGGCATCCTTTTCAGTTTTACAGAGCAATTGGCCTCTAGAGTAGCAGAGAAGAGTTTCGCTAAAATGGCCCCATTTTGTGCCCGTTGCATGTCAAGTGCCAGCAAACGAAGTGAACTCTACACACCGACATGGCAATTTCAGTGGGCGCAAACAGAAGTTATCCTCTCCTGCATTCCATCGGTCATTCTGTAGCTCATGACATCGTCACCAAGCACAGTGCAATTTTGGAATATATAAAAAAGAAAAAGTCTGTCAACACTGTCTGAGTGCAAATGCTGGTTCCAGATTATTTATATGACTTTGGCTGATAAAAGTTGCACAACATGGGATTGACATAAAATCTCTTAAATATGACAGTGTGGAAAAATCTAAAGCAAAATCCTTCATCGAACTACAAAATGACACGTCTGTCTAAATGCGGTTACTCTCAATAGGACTAAATTATTGACTTTTGTTTTTACAACAATGTCATCACAAGTATAGCCCCAAAAAAACATTCTCCAGAGCAGAGTATTGAGTCCTTTACTCATGTGCATTATACCAAAAAGCCGTTTACTGCTGCAGAATATTTTCAAAAGCAATTACAGACTAGTTTGTTTACCAAAACCAAACACAAGAAAAAGGCCACACTCAAGTGGTAATCAAATAAAAGGAATCAGCTCATATCTTGATCATTTCGGTGCGTTAACTACTTGGCAGTTTTTTTTACAAGTTGCACCTCACTGAAATCCAGAGCAGGAGACACCTGGTTCCTCTTGAGCTTGACTCATATCGTGATATTGATATGGCATCAGTGATATGCTACTGATACGGTATCATGTCGGCTACGCTCTTTCTGGTGCATTATCAAATTCATGTTTTCATCCATAAAACCTCGTGTAAAGGAGATGTTACATGTGAAGGTTGCAGCCTCATTTGTTTGGATGACAAACCCAAAGCAAAGATTGGTGGCAATGTATGGCACGGAGGCGATTTTGTCAAAACAAATAAATAAAAGATCTATCGTGAAGCTGCATCAACTACTCTATTCACTGCGACGTCACTGCATGCTCAAAGTATAAACTTCGCATGGCTAGCTAAGTCGGTTTGCACAAAAGCTCGTAGAGACATTTGTGTTGTATTCTGCAAGAGCATTGTGCTAATTGAGCATAACTTAAAGGTTTTTATAAATTAGATAAATCTTCAGATGCAAGTCCCTGCCTCTGGTCCTGAAATTACCAAAAATCTGGCTGTCGTGCCAAATTGTGATCAACCATCGCTGGACAGGCCAGGCTTTGACAGAGACGTGTAATACTGTGCATGCGGCTCTTCTGTAGTTTTTGTTGATAACAAGACAGACAAAAGGAGGAAATACTACATGAAAAATTACACTTTTTGAGCATGAACACTGCAGCACTTGACATAGAAGCCTTCTGAGACAATGTGTGGGATGATAACAAAGAAGCAATTTATAATAGATATCAACGGCAGAGGTCTGTAAAACACTGGCAGGTAGGTCTATGCTGTGCGGGGTACAAAATATTATGCAAAAGACGAATATGGAGGGCATATAAAAAATCCTGCAAAAATAAAAAAAAAAAAAAGTAAAAAGTCATGCTTTTTTGCAGAAGTGTAATGGAAGCCATTTAAGCAGTCAATGATATCCCCCATCCTGCCCCCTCTCTGTTCAGCCAACTTCTTCCAAGAGAAGAGCATATCAAATGGGCTTTAGTCTCAACAGCTTAGAGGCAGAACAACTCAAACATGCCCTGCAGAGAGACGGCTCTGTGTCACAAGTCACACTCAACCAAAACCGGGCCTTTAATGGAACCAACTGTTCACGAAGTTCAGAATATTCCAAATCGGAAACAGCCTCCAACTTCAAATGTCTTATTTTGTGTCATTTGATATTGTGACTTTTTTTTGTTGTCGTTTAATTAATCATATTTGTTTGTTTTTTTTCCTTTTTGCATTGGTAAAACAATGCAGTTTTTCTTATTTTGGCTGGTTTGACAGAATTTCATCCAGGACCTCTGGCAGTACACCAGACATGAGGACAGAGGGGGGGAGAAGATGGATGGAAGGATGCTAGACAGAGGACAGGTGGAGATGGAGGGAGTGGGCAGATCCCCTCCTCCCCGGGATATGTGTGGGTCACAAGCCAAAGAGATGCTGCAGCCCAGAAGGGAGGGTAGCTCTACCTGAGTCACTCTGACATCTCCTGCAGGTGCTGGTTTCTGTGGGGTTCAAATTACACATTTTTAAAAGGGGCAAAGTTATAAGAATCAGCATGAACACCAAACATAATGCAGTATGACGGCTGGATCTCGCTAAAGGTGCAAGATGTTGGGAGCTCGGGTGGGAATATGTGGGCTCTCCGTGTCGCATGTGGCCACAAAAAGACAACAACATAGTCTTTTACATTTTTAATGTGCTGTGGGGCGGGGCCTAGTCCAACTGAGCTCAATCGAGGCTCACTGCAAAGATGAACATGTCTCAGCACAGTATTTATAGAAGCTTTAAATGGTCATTCTCTTGAGTAAGATACTCTCAATTTGTGTGCCGTTATACAACGAATCACGGTGTAGAGCGGACAAGTACGCAAAGCTCACATCCTATGTATATTACTTAATCCAGTTCCAAATATATTTAGGAAAGTTATGAGTGGTCTTTAACAAGCACACTTAAAGACAAAAAAAAGAAGCGTACCCTTTCCTGAATTCCTCCCATTCCCTGCAAAGTCTCTTGACATAAGGGCTGCCGGTTATATTTTCGAATTAATTAAAAAATAGGGAAAAATGTGCTTACAAATAAAGGGCAGTTTCATGAAAAATGTACTTATTTATTTAGCATCTGTCTAGTCTTCTGACCACTCAAGGTGTTCTACACTACATGTCAACATTCACCCATTAACACACACATTCATACACTGAGGCTGCCCATCCGGATCTAAATGAATACACACACACACACACACACCACACACAAAAATAACACAGCATACGGGAGCAATTTGGCGTTCAGTATCTTGCCCAAGGACACTTTGACATGCAGACTGGAGGAGGCTTGTAGGATGATCCGCTCAACCCCCCCCCCCCCCCCCCCCCCCCCCCGTCACTTTAGTCTGACCAATGGTCCAAAACCCAAAGGTACTTTACAATGATATAAAACAGAGAAAAGCAGAGAAAAAGTATGATTAATCAAAAAAGGATGATTGAATGATGAAGTATCTTTGTTATTGTCCTGGGTGCGATGAGTGACCACGTCAGTTACAAAGCACTTCAGGTACATTTGCTACGACGGGGGTTATGGCATTGACCAATGGGTTTGACCTACATCCTCGCTGGGACATGACATTCAGGTGGCCGGTGTATCTGCGTCAGACGCTCTGTGGGTCGGCGTGTCCTGCTTACAGTGCTAAGCCCGGGGGTCACGGCCTTCCACATCTGTATCGGAGAACCGTCACAACACTCGCGACGATGATGATGATCGCGCACACCCATCATCCACATCCGAGTCACACACACGTTGTGCTGTGAATACGCACATTTCGCACTCAGAGACAATGTAAAAGTAAACAGAAGCACAGGTATGTGGACACAAGCATACGTTCTAAAACTAAATTATGAAAAGTGAAGTGTGTGTGTGTGTGTGTGTGTTGGCGAGTAAACAAACAGTTGGAGTCTTTGTGAATATGCGCTTATGCAGTGAAGCGCCTCACACGGCGAGAGAGTGCATCACAGAAGAGCAAGCTGTGAATGAACTGCTCTTATCAGCCACGCGCAGCTTCTCACCACTGGAGGGGAACTGGTAAATATCACATGCCTAATTATAAGCAGACACACTAGTCTCAACTTCCACAATATGTCTTTTATCTCACACTGTTGTTCCTTCAGTGAAACCAGGGTTAAAAGCACAAATCAAGAATGATGAGAAAACACTGATTCAAAAAGTTCCAGCGGAGACATTTTTCTACAGGTTAATTTGTAAAGGGGGGATTTTGTTGAGGCGTGGCCATGAGACGATGTCACCTTGACTGAAGCACTAATAGGTGTGGAAGTGACTCAACAAGACTGAAGAATGTGAGTGTTTCCTGAAACACATCCTGCAAGAAGACAAGTCGCCGGGGCGCCGAGAGCTCCACCCTCGCTGCTATCAATACCCGACATCAGTTCGTCCTACCTGAAATTCCTCTCTCAACTCTCTTTGCCCACATGCTTTCTGTGGGGAGGAGGGAGGGATAGCAGAAACTAATTGCACAGACCGCACAACATACAGTTCAATGTCAAATGTCAAATGTCACTAAAGGAGCCTGATGGAAGGTAGTCAGAGAGCAGTCACGGGAGGTCACGGAAGTGTGGAGAGTAAGCGACACAAACACAGCTTTTGAGCCAGGGAGTCAGGAGGAAGGCTGGAGGGGGGAGAGCAGCTGCATGTGGCTCTGGTGTTGAGGATGCAGACGGTTTCAGCGGTTTACACCCTGCTCGGGCTAACAGGAAGTGCTGCAGCTCCACGACAGCCCGCTGGAAGTCGTATTGTTTTATAGCTTCCTACGTAGGTCAACGGAAGATTGGGTTATTGTTCGCGAGAGCCATTAAGTTGTCAGCTTTTAAGGTTAAACGCTGATTGTACCGCCCCCCCCCCCCGCAGCATCATGTTGCTTTTATCGCCTCTTTACTCCTTTTCATGTGAAGGCAGTGTTGTTTTCCTTTATGAGACACAGACACATGTTTGACAGTGACAGGTACATTTCATACTTCTAAACGTCAATGAAAGAGTGAAACAGAGAGCAGGCCTTTGTGTGTGCTGATCTAACTACATCGTGCTTCCATGACTACACTCCCCCCCCCCCCCCCTCCTCCCTCTCTCTCCTAATGAGGGGACAGGCAGACAGGCTCTGGCTCCAAGCACAGGTCAACAACTTAAAAAAAAGGGATCCACAGTGGGAAAGTGGGTCATCTTCTCCTGACACTGACGCACATACACTGACGCACATACACTTGCACTCTGAACACAGACATGGAATAGTGCTCTTTTAGGAAGATGTTGAATGTATGATACTGCCCAGAGTCACAAGGACTCAATGTCACCTCTTTACAACAGTGGAATCATTACGGCCTTTGTATACGTGTAATGTCAAATAAACTAAATCCAAACTGACAAAAGCAAACATAGTTTGTTCTTCTATCTTTGTGAGAACTAAAGAAGTAAACACTCTTTAAATGCCTTGATACAAAACATAAACACCAAAACATAACCACAACCTCAACTGTAACACTTACCCACAGAGTCCAGAAATAAGCCAAGAAATTACCAACACACACAGTGCACACAGACAAAAACCCATTCAGAATAACCCTGTGACAGAACAGCATGTAGGTCAACCTGTGGTCAGCTGATCTGCCCTGATCCTGTCAGTGCTTTAGACTACACTCACACACAACATAGATTATATGCCCTTGTTATTTATGGCCTAAATTACAGCTGCAACAGACACAGCAATGGAAAAAGCACAGTTGAAATTAAAAGTTTTGCCGACTATGTAAGAGTATATAATATACTTTAAAGAGAAAACAAGACAAATTCTGCTTCAATCACTGCATTTGCAATTGTGTCATCTTGGACCCGAATCCACTCCTCTATCGGCCTGTTAACCTCTGATCTTGCCCCAAGCATGCAAAAAAAAAAAGCTTTATGCAGACACACACACACACTTACCCAGAGCCAAGCAAAGTCCCTGCACATCTCATCTTATTCCCTTCATAGCGCAGAGAAAAGACTCAAGTGTCACAAATGCTCCTGTTCCCGCAGAGGCCAGTGGCAACTCTCAAAGCTTTTGCTGCTTCCAAGCCTCCTGTCTGCGCCTTATCACTCTCACTCTCTGCACATATCCCTTACTCTGTTCACTCTCTTTCTTTCTTACTTCCTCCTCTGTCTTCCTCTCTTCTTTTCTTTAGCTCACTCTCTTTTCTCCCTTCTCTCCCCCTTGCTCTCTGATCTGTCTTTTTCCCCTGTCCAGCTTCTGCACAATGCACATCAATTATTCAGAGGCAGTCTCCCGGTTTCTCCGGCTTATCCAATCAGAGCGAGGCTCTGCACTAATGGGCTCCTGCTGTACCTGCTACCGGCTCCAACACACTCTCGAGACTGGGGGGGGGGGGGGGGGGGGGGGGG